CTGGTCTTAGACTGGTCTTAGACTGGTTTAGACTGGTTTAGACTGGTTTAGACTGGTCTTAGACTGGTCTTAGACTGGTTTAGACTGGTCTTAGACTGGTTTAGACTGGTCTTAGACTGGTTTAGACTGGTCTTAGACTGGTTTAGACTGGTTTAAAGACTTCTGGTCTCAATGGTTTACAGACGATCTTATAAAGCCAAGTGAAAACTGGAGAAGAAGACGCCAAAGTCCAGATGCTTTTGTTGTTTGTTGCATGCACAGCTGATGGAGGAGGTGATGAGATGATGCTCCTTTAGGATCAAGCTGCTAAATTAAGACATGACAGAATGTGAACATGTATACGACATGAGACAAGACGTGCATCACTCATGCTTAAATACAAACAGTGGATGTCACAAGACAGTGCACATGTTACCTTTGTTTGTTTCATTTTATTAAACCTTTATTTAACATTTATATTACAAGATCTCTTCTTCAAGGGAGCGGGTCACGAAGCATCGGGCCCACAAGCACATAGACAAGTAAAACAAATTTAAAACCCATAAAAACAACTCACACACACACAAATACACCTGAAGCTGAGCAGAACTATTTTCTACACAATCCTGACGATGGTAAGATGCACGTCCTTTAGTGTGTGTGTGTGTGTGTGTGTGTGCGTGCGTGCGTGTGTGTGTGTGTGTGTGTGGTGGTGGGGGGGGAGGTCTCAAGTCTTGTGAGGAGAATCTCTCCCAGTCCGGCAGTGACATCTCACATGATCTGGTACCTCCTCCTGGATGCAGGAGGCCATGTAGTTTGTGTGAGGGGGGGTGGGGTCCTCCACCATGCTGGTGGCTTCATGATGATGATGATGATGCATGTAATGCAAGGGGAGAGGGGGCCACGGTGGGACTCTAGAGAGTTTAGTTTTTTCCAGCCGTCCTCTCTGTGTGCTGTCTGGTCGTACGACCCGGCCCTGTGTGGTTCCTGCAGTGAAGCAGCTGCTCAGGATGAGAGACTTTGCAGAGAGAGCTCAAAGTGTCTGCTGGGAGATGATGAGCTTGTTTCTGCCTTTGAAAGTAAAGAAACTGCTGGACTTTCTTACAAAGCTGGTGTTGAGGGACCAGGAGAGGTTCTCCTCCAGGTGAACACCAGAACTTTTACTGGTCTAAATGGTCTCCTTAAAGGATCTGCTGATGTTCAGAAGAGTGGTCATTGTTTGATATTAAGCAGCTAAAGTTAATCAGCTTCAAGAGTCACGTTAAACCTTTTATATTTCTTTTACATTTGACAGAGACTCTAAGAATATTCATTAGATGAATCAACAAGACAAACGACCCTGATGACCCTGATGACCCTGATGACCCCGATGACCCCGATGACCCCGATGACCTTGACTTTAGTCATTATTAAAATACGTGTCCGTAAGTTTGAGAGTTTGACGAATGTTCTTTTTCTCTTTTAGAGACGAGAGACATTTCAGCAGAAGTAGTTGGAGCCAAACCCACTCGTGCGCTCGTCTCAAAGCAGCAGAAGGACGGGAGGAAAGTTGACATCCACCTCAAACCCCGCCCTCCGTACACGCACGCCCCCCATGAGCCCCCGCACTCCCTGGCTGACCTGAAGATGTACAAAGACACCAAAATACTAGTGGCCAAATTCCTGGAGCACTCGAGCTGCAGTCTACCTCCTGAAGTCCAGCAGGTTGTCAACAGCATCAAGTGTGTCATTAAATCTGACGAGAAACACATGGAGGAGGCCATCTTCAGTGCCAACGTCATCGACCAGGTACGTTTGTAGACGTGGAGGAACTTCAGAGGTAGATTAACCAAACTGACCTGCACATCTGCAGAAAGAGAACTTTTGCTTTCTTGGTGCTTTTCTGTCACCAGGTGATGACTCAGCACATCATGGGCAGTCCCAGGAACCGTGACCATGAGGATCTCCATCTACAGAGCTGCGGTGCTTTGAGTTCATCCCCGTCCCCGTCTGTGTGCCGATCAAAACACCTCCCTGAAGAACACAGCTCCTCCACCGACCCACAGGGCTCCCCCCGCTCTGAACACCGCCTCGAGTGCAAAGAAACGATTCTCTGACCAGTCTCCAGCAAGGACTGGGTTCTCCTGCGCAGCTGATGTCTGTAAAACGCCTCAGACCTTGACATTGTGTCTGGCTCTGTGGAAGCGCAGGACGATGCAACCTTTCGTAGGGCCGTGAGGTCGTGCCAAGTCGTCAGCAGAAATGGTAGCAAACTCTGACAGAGGCTTCTCTCATCAGAAGCAAACACAAGAATGTTTTCTCCATCAGGAAACTTTTTCTACGCTTCATCTCTTCTAATAACAGAAACGATGCCCAGCTGCTCAGGGCGGGTCTGTAACGGAAACGCAACAAAAAGAGTGTTGTCCATTTCCTTTGTCTGAATGAGCAACGGAGAGAGATGTTTGTATTAAACTGTGACATGAAGCGGCAGGGCTTTAGGAGCCATCGCTTGCAGACTTTGTGGAGTTGTTCTTGATAAGGTGGTATTTTGTGGTTCAGTAACATCACAGATGTGGATAAATTAACTTACCTCATTGTGTTACGATTCTTATCAGTGTTACAATAAAATATGCATTTGTATGATGTGGCATGAGTTCTTTATTTCTCACAGGAATCAGATGCTGAACATCTCGTCTTATTAAGCGCGGTGACCAAAGTCAACACCGACATATGAGTTTGACAAAGCTCATTGTTGTTTTATAATTCATAGTTCCTTTACTGATTGGTCTAGTCAGAGTCAGAGATTATTGTAATTCCACCTCATGTGGTACATGTGGTGGAATTACATTATGTTCAAGGGTCCCAGTTACATCCAACAATAAATGTAAAAGAAAAACAGTAATAACATCTAAGATCAGAAAAACATCAACTAAATATACACTGAGCACTAACAGCATAAAACATCACGTCGAACATCAGCACAAACATGAGTCCATGTGAGCAGATGAGCACGCATGAACACATCAACATTGAAATAGCGTTTTTTGCAGGTCGACGTGCACGAGCCTACAAGTTTTAGAGCTGGAGCATCTGTCATCAAGTAGACTGGGATGGACAAATCACTTTAGTGTCATGACTTTATGAGGCGCAGCAGCTGGTTAAGTTTGATGTCTGATCACTAGAAAACAGCTTTCACTGTGTGAAGGCTGACATTTTCCACCCCTGAATATTTGATTGATCTTCATTTATGTTAAATTTATAAAATTCAACAAGTTGGAGTTTCCTGTCTCTTAATATTCCAGCAACGACAGGTCAAAGTTACCGAGCCAGAGTGCCAACGAGCTTTACTTTGTTTGATGCACACCAGCACTGTAGCACTGGTGCTCTTCTGGTACCTTTCTGGTGTTGTGCTGTGGAGCACCTCGTGGTCTCAGTCTACGACTGAAGGTGCTGCGGTACGAGTCCAGGGTGTCATGCAGGGGGGGTGACGTGATGTTCAGGATCTGGAGCAGGTTCCTCAGCATCCTCTGCTCAGACACCTCTGTCAGAGACTGCAGGTCCACTCCCAGAACTGAACCAGCTCTCCGGATTAGGGGGTGATTTTGGTCAGATGTGCTGCTTAAATGTTTTCTATAAACCAGCAGTGGAGTTGAGCGTGCACCTGCTTCCTGTTTCAGATTTGACATTTTTAATGTTTTACATGCAGTTTAAGATTACATATTGTAACACATTATTAAGATGTTATCTAAGTGTTTATCATAAAAAAATTCATATGAAATCAGGTCAGATTACAGTTCTTGTCACTAAAATGCAATTTAAAACTTTTTTATTTTGAAAGAAAGCTAAGCAGTGTTGCGCAGAAGAAAAGCATCCTCCCCCAGAGCGCATTTCAAAACACTTGTTTTCAAGAATAATTTTAAAATGACAACAAAAAAGTGACTGTTAATTATGTAAGCATATATATATATATACATATATATATATAGATATATATATATATTCACATATATATCTATATATATATATACATATATCTATATATATATCTATATATATATATATATGTATATATATATATCTATATATATATACATATATATATATAGATATATATATATTCACATATAT